ATCAAGAACGTTTTCCGACAGCGACATTAGATGATGTTAAAAAAAAAATTTAATTCTTTACGCACAAATTATAGAAAAGAATTAAAAAAAGTAAATGATTCGTATAAATCTGGAGCTGGTTTAGAAGACATTTATCAGTCACACTTGTGATATTTTAATGAAATGCATTTTCTCCGGGACCAAGAAACACCAGCATAATCACGAAGCACTTAACAAATCCGTCTACCACCAAAAGTCGCAAATACAAGCAATGTTGATGATAAAATAGACGAAATCACTGAAACTGTAGGAGAGGTATGAAAATTATTAATATTATAATATTTAATTATTTGAATTACATTTTTATTATTTATTTTATAAATAATAATAATAATAATAATAATTATTATTATTTATTATTAATTTTTTTATTTACATTTTATTTTAAACATAATTATTTTGCCACGGTACAGTCCCTTCGTTACTAAAATACATAGAATACATGTCTCTGATTTCTTTAGCTCTATCCGAAGTATTTCTGCTGGTAGTAGTTTGTAATGTTAATAATTGATGATTTGAATTCCGCCATGCTCCGTTATGCATTTCACCTGTCTCGTGATTATCGAAATCTACAGAACCTTGACCAATATATGTTTTTGAGTTTTTTGATCTTAAATAATTATGTATATGACAACAAGTTAAAACAATAGTTTGTGCTTTTTCTGGAGATAAAAGTATATCCTTTTGTAATACACCAAATCTAGATACAAGTATACCAAACGCATTTTCAACAATACGCCGCGCTCGACTAAGTCTATAATTAAATAATCGTTGTTCTTCAGTTAAATTATTTCCTACACGGCTATAAGGCTTTAACAAATTTTGAGTCATAGCAAAAGCGCCATCGGCGACAAAAACGTATGGAAGAATCTTATTACTGCGTCGCACTTGTTGAGGTTCAGGAATGTTAAGTAATTGATTTTCCATCATTTTTCCAAAATCTGAGTGGCCTAATACTCCGCCGTCAGATATTCTTCCGTTTAATCCTACGTCTACCATCAAAAACTCATAATTAGCGTTTACTAAAGCTAATAACACAATACTAAATGTATTTTTGTAGTTATAATAAAATGATCCAGAGTCTGGTGGTTTTTTTATTGTCACATGTTTTCCATCTATAGATCCCAGACAGTGTGGGAAATCCCACTTTTCTTCAAATTCATCAGCGATTGTTTTCCATTCATGTGAAGTTTTTGGCAACTAAAAATTAATAATAATTAATTAGGTTCTCAAATAAAAAATACTTAATTAGTTTTATACAAGATCATACATCATTTAGATTTTATTTTATTAATGAATTTGTTATTTTAGGATAATGATACAGATTTTCAAACTGTTAAAAATAAACCAGCTAAACGAAGTACAGATCAACGTGATGAACTTATATCATTAGCCTGTAAACGTTTGTGCGAACCGGAATGTGAAGAATTACAAATAGCTAAAACATGGGATAATGAATTATTAAAAATGAATAAATCTCAACAAATTTTCGCCAAAAAAGTGATAGCTGACATTTTATTTGAAGGACAATTGGGTACATTGAACCGTGATTCCATTCAAATCAATAGTATTTCAAGCAGAGTAAGTACTCCATACAGTTATACACCAGTTCCTACGCCAAGTCCGTCTTCGTGGGTTATGACAAGTGTAGCAGATCAAAACTACTCTATTCAAACACAAATTGAACCATCTGGGAACATAAATACGGCAACTGCGTTTATCAATTCATTTCAACCATAATTTTTTTAATTTTAATTTCATTGTTATTTTGTTCTATAAATTTATATATTTACGATACTTATAATATCTACTACCTACTAATAATAATATTCATTTATAATAAATAAACTTATGAATAAAAGCAATCTCTAACGCAACAACTAGTTATGTAATTTTACCAACATATATAATATGTAGCTTACCTTTATATAGTTTCGAAGACAATATATTAAAGCTTCACAAGTTTCAATCACAATTTTTCCAATGGATTGAGGAGATATCGCACTGATAAATTTCAGGTCCTCGAATGTGTTTCCGGTAGCCAAATAACGTAGAGTTATAGACAGTCTTTGACTTGCTGGTATAGCTTCTCGCATTGACGTATTTTGTTTTTTAATAAATGGATTCACCAAAGTTAAAATTTCATCGAAACATTCATCATCCATTCTTAAAAAATTTTTGAAATCATTTCTTTCAAAATTGCGCAACTCTGTTAATAGCTTTTCGTGAGTATATTGTTGTCTATTTTTCAACCCCTCTTTTGACCAGGTTCTTCGTTGTTTTTTTACCTTTTTTGGTTTTTTTTTTTTCATCAAGTGACAAGGCAAGAGCAATAGCAATTATCGCGTTCTCTTCGCTAGATATTTTGACCGAAACTGAACAATATATTGAATTGAAACATTTATTGATGTAAATATTGAGCAATAATATTGATCGTGTGAATGCAAAAGAAATTGAAACATTTATTGAAATATTTATTGATTTAAATATTGAGCAATAATATTGATCGTGTATGGGGGCCGCTTAAACATATTACTTGGAGATTTTAACGCTAACTACGTTAAGAACCTCTCTCAGTTCTTCAATAGAGAAAATTATAATACTTAAAATAATAGGTATTTATACTAAGTAGTAAATAAAGTACAAAAAAAGTACAAAATACTGTGAAGATTTGATTTTAAGATTAGAAAGTGGCAGTGCTGGCAAAACGAACCTGTAATGTACTCTATCATATAAAAATGCGCTCCGCAATTGATCTACAGCAAGAACTATAAATTGTGCCAGGAGCGATGAAAATGCAGTTTATTTGAATTTACTAATGAAAGTCATTCTATCAAATTAATATTTAAAAGTTGATTAAAGACAAAACTGCGATTGTTTTAATCAATTTGTGAACTAAGATAGACATTTAGATAGGTAATAATATATAGTGTCAAGTGTGATAACTCATAATCAAATATATATTTTATTCCTTAGTTTTTTTTTTTAATTTTATATCTATACTCTTATGGTAAAAGTATAATTTTTTATAAGTAAATCGTCTAGCAAATAACCTAACCACTTGTATTCTTATTACATAAATGTTTCTAAAAACAATCTGTTATATATTTTATAATAGTAAAGCACAGTTAATATTCTAGTAATAAACTACCGACAATTTTCTAGTAGTAAGCTACTAACAATTTTCTAGTAGTAAGCTAATTATTTGTAGTTAACTATTAAAACTTCTTAGTAGCTTGTCTAAAAAAACTAATATGGATTTTTATTAGTTCATTTTTTTTTAATAGTTTAAAGTAGTTCTTTTTTCTAAGTACGATCCAAACACGGTTCAGTCGATCGAACGGACCAGACACCAAATAAAGTTTAAAAACAGTTCAAAATAAAATTAGAACTCACCATGCACCTATCGGTCTATTTAACCGACCTCACACCCTGAAATTGTTACTCGGGTACATTGATATTATCATAAATATGGTTATTTTTAGCATTCATTAAGAATTACTAAATATTTCGATCAAAATAACATTAAAAACCGGCTCTATACAACTCAAGATATATTACTCCTCTACAAGTTTTATAATAAGTGTTTTTACTATAAAACCATTCATTTATTAGAAGTACAATTGCATATTTTACCGTAAAATTAGTTAAATTAGTAAATTATATATGTTAGGTTACAGCTAAATTAGGTACTCGGCATACACCGTACAACCTGTACATACCACCGACCCGCGCACGACACCACAGTACCACACATATGGATATTATATCGAAACATTTTTTCCGATACTTTTACATGGTATCGAATCGAAAGCTAATATCGATACCTACAAAATATCAAAACAAAATATCGATATTACAGATATTGATTAAAAAAAAGATATAAAGAGCAAATAATAAATATTAATATTTTATTATCACTGATCACTGTAGCCTGTAGGGATGGCAAAAAAAAAAAGAACACTGGTACACAACCAAAACATTAGTCATTAAAAGTAGTAC